TCTTGCAAGCGTCGTTTGTAAATCGGCAGGCAGGCAGGCAGGCAGGCAGGCAGGCAGGCAGGCAGGCAGGCAGGCAGGCAGGCAGGCAGGCAGGCAGGCAGGCAGGCAGGCAGGCAGGCAGGCAGGCAGGCAGGCAGGCAGGCAGGCAGGCAGGCAGGCAGGCAGGCAGGCAGGCAGGCAGGCAGGCAGGCAGGCAGGCAGGCAGGCAGGCAGGCAGGCAGGCAGGCAGGCAGGCAGGCACAGGCAGGCAGGCAGGCAGGCAGGCAGGCAGGCAGGCAGGCAGGCAGGCAGGCAGGCAGGCAGGCAGGCAGGCAGGCAGGCAGGCAGGCGAGAAAGCGACAAAGACATAGAGCCAGAGAGACAGAGAGACAGAGAGACAGAGAGACAGAGAGACAGAGAGACACAGAGACAGAGACACAAACATGGACAGACATAGACACTCGGTTGCTTTCTGCTCCCATGCTAAAAGTTTAACTTTTACTGGTTTAATGGAAAACCCATTAGTTGACAAAAAGCTAAAGTTTTAACATCCAAGCAAAATGCACCTCTGTTTGCTTTCCCTACGGACATAGACAGACATACATAGACAGACATAGACAGACATAGAAAGACATAGACAGACATAGATAGACATTGAGAGAGACGTGAAGAGACAGAGAGAGAGAGAGAGAGAGAGACATAGAGAGAGAGAGAGCGAGAGAGATAGAGAGAGAGAGAGAGAGCGAGAGAGCGCGAGAGAGAGAGAGAGAGAGCGAGAGAGAGCGAGCGAGACATGGAGAGAGACATAGAGAACGAGAGAGCCATAGAGAGAGAGAGAGAGAGACATAGCGAGAGACATAGCAAGAGACATAGAGAGATACAGAGTGACATAGAGAGAGACATAGAGACCGACATAGACACAAACACAGAGACAGACATAGACACAGACATAGAGACTCGAAGATAGATAGATAGACACGGAGACAGCAGAGACAGGCACAGACAGACAGACAGACAGACAGACAGACAGACAGACAGACAGACAGACAGACAGACAGACAGACAGACAGACAAACAGACAGACAGACAGACAGACAGACAGACAGACAGACAGAGCGATAGACAGAAAGAGACCCGACACAACACAACACACCAGGCCGCAACACCAAGCAAGCAAGCGTGCAAGCAAAGCAAAGCACGGCAAAGCAAAGCAAAGCAAAGCAAAGCAAAGCAAAGAAAACAAAGCAAGGCAAGGCAAGGCAAAGCAAAGCAAAGCAAGCAAGCAAAGCAAGCAAGCAAAGAAAGCAAAGCAAGCAAGCAAGCAAGCAAGCCAGCCAAACAAAGAAACAAAGAAATAAACAAACAAACAACCAACCAAACAAGCAAGCAGGCAGCCAGACAGGCAAGGAACAGGAACAGCTTCACCCCGCCAAGTGCTGCCAGGCCACGTGCTTCCCGCAACACCCGGGGCCGCAGGGATGTGGACTCATCCAGAGGAGCAGCCTGGCAAGGTCGCCCGAAGGAAGATTCCTCGGAATGAGGGCTTCGTGGGTTCTCATCTGCAGGAGAGCGCAGATGCTATATCCTTTGACCTGCAAATCAACAAAACGAGAAGACTAACGGCAAGCAGCCGGGGTCACCAAAAACTGAATGCACAAAAATGATCCTGTTTGCCATATTACTGCGAACCTGGCAATGGCAGCCGAACGTTCGAAGCTCTGCCAAAGTCAGCTTGAAAATTGGGCTTCAAAATTGAAAGGAATCCACGGATGTTGGCAAAGCCTCTCAAAGCTAATCGTCTTCTCTGCCGGGCCCTCCTTGCACCCAGTTCTTTTCTCTTCTCCCGTCGTCTGCCGGGAAATGTGTCTAGCCATCACCCTGCGTCAGGCGCACGTCAAGCTGCCACCAACGCCACATCCACCCCAAACCTCCCGCCTTGCGCTCGTAGAAGCGCGGGATGGACCTCTCCGGAGCGATGGGTTTCTTGCGTTTCAGAAGGCGAAAGAATGACGGCACGCACGAGACGCCGCGAGCGATTGGCTTTTGTGCGAAGCTGCACTGAAATATTGCTGTGAACATGTATGTATATATATATATATATGTATATATGGCTGTGGCTCAAATAAATCTACCAAAATGGCACAGTGGTAAACGGAACCAAAGACTAAAGCCTGCGGTTTGCCCCCAGCTCTCGCTTTTTGAGCCACACCCATATCTCTCCAACGCGCGACGCGCGCGACTCGCAAGCGCGCGCCTCAAGGAGGGGCACCTCCGCTCCTCTTCCTCCCGCTGCAGCTCCTGGAGCTTCAGAAAGGCCGCCTCCTTCGCGCTCGCGTCCGAAGCGCGCGAGCGAGGTCGTCTTCCCCGGTGGCTCGGTGCGCGTGGAGCAACTCCAGGCTTGGGTTGGTTGGTTTTGGGTGGAGGTTTGGGTTGGTTAGTGGTTTGTGGTTGTTTGGGGGTGGAGGTTTCGGGACCAAATGTCTGAAGCTTGGTGGAGGTGGTTGGTGGAGGTGGTCGGTGGAGGTGGTCGGTGGGCAGGTTAGGGGTGGTTTCTCAATTATGCTCCGCAAGAAGGGGCTCGAACATTCCCAAAACCGAACCAAACCAGCTTTTCATGGTTGCCTGAAGCGTGACACGGAACCCATCTTCCCTTGCTTGCTTTCAGTGTCAGGCCAGGGATTGCAACTTGCAAAACACATGAGGACTCAATCCCTGCAAAATTGAAAAGTTGGGAAGTGGCGGAAGCTTCGGCCTCATCCCGGGCCTCCGGAGCTTTTGTCCCTGGGCACTGATTCGTGAAGAGCAACCACCTCAAAACGCAGCTTCTGCTCAGTCAGGCAGTGAAAACAAAAGTAGGGCCCTCCAAACCAGGAGATCCGGAAGCAACAGGTCTGTCACTTTGTGGGCAACTGCAACACAACCGCGTCAGTCCTTCGGATTGATGGGTCGACATTCATCCAGGGCTTGATTCCCTGTTCTTACTTCTCCAAAAGGACCTGAAAATAAAGGGTTAACCTTTTGGGACCTCCACTAAATATGGACCAAAACAGGAAAACCAAAAGGTCAAAAGGTCGATTCGCTTTGGGCATCTCAGTGTTCTGTCCAACCGTCGCTGTCCCAACGAGCCCTGGTCCCTGAGCCAGCAGTCAGGAAGGTGAGTCCAAATAATTGTCCCCAGAGGTCAAAAAATTGCACCGAGAAATGAAAATTATGTGTCCTCCCCCAAGTGGTAAAAATGCCTGGCCCAGCCCCCAACAAGCCCCATCCGGCGCCGTCCTCGGCCTGCTCCATGTCGCTTTCGCTGACCTCGCAGCCATCGGTGTAGCCTTCGCACCAAGGAGGCGACTGGTCAGATTTGGAGGTGCCTGACGTCCTCCCCCCCCAAAGAAAAAAAAATGAAGAAAAAAATAGACCCCAGATAGCGAAACACATACCAACGATTGCATTGTGGCACCTGTGCAGCCCATCACCAATCACCAGGCCCCCCAAAACAGCACCTGCACCAGCCGTCAATCTTGCAAAAACGCCATGCCCGTCACCAGCCGCATCCGCACCATCACCCCGAACAGCACGCTCAGAGCACCCGGCTGTCAATCTCGCAAATATGCGACCAGCGCCTCAAACAGCACCCCAAACACCATCCCAAAACAGCACCTTCGCCAGCAGACTATATTCCCGCCCTAGCACCCTACAGTCAATCTTGCAAAAGTACGCCCGCCCTGTCATCTGCACAAAACAGCACCTGCACCAGCACCCAAACTGCATGCCCTAGCACCCTGCTGTCAATCAAAATAAAATGCTCAAACAGCAACCCAAACAGCACCTACATCAGCACCCCAAGCTGCATGCCCCCTAGCACCCAGCCAGCAATCTCGCAAATCACTTTCCCTTCTTTGTTAGAAGTTGGAACCCCTGCAGCTTTCAGCTATCTGGGGAAAACAAAACACCAAATCGTTCTGCCCGAAAGGAACTCCCTGCCCGAAAGACACGGTCGGTGAAAAAGTGATGCATTTGGAACTGGGAAACCCACAAGAAAGCCAAGGGATCTGAGGCCGTCCAGCGAGGTCTGAAACCAGCCAGTCGCAGAGACTTGGAGCTGGGCCAGGTGGCGCGAAAGGAGACCTTTGCAAACCGCTGCTAGATGAGAAGCCAGCATCCTTTCTCTGCGCAGTTCGGCTTAGATGCAAACTGTCGGCATGCGCGCAAGCGTTCCCTGAGTACGTTCTTGCAGCTCGATGGCATGGTGAGCCCACATCACCATGGGTCAAGCCCGGCCCGTACCCCCCAGTGAACATCCCAAGCCCCACTAAAATAGGTTCTAAGATGGGCGGTGCACCTAAAATGGGTGGTGAATTCACCTACCAACCAAAATGGGATCCCAAAACGGTTTTGACAACCGCCACAGATCGGGACGCAACCAGAGAAACGGCACCGCGCCTCGCAGCCGATGCAAGGCGTTGGGCATGGTCAAAGAGGTCGGCCGGTCTCTCTGAAAGTGGCGGATGTCTGAAATGAGCTGATGAATCAAGAACTCGCTGAAATCCTTCTGTTTGGTCAAGTTTGTCTGTCTGGTTTGCTGCATCTGCGCTGGTGCATTCGCTTTCTTTCTTCCTAAGCTGCAAAGGACATGGGACGTCTTTCTTCCCACTGAATTGTCCTTGCCCACATTCCCACGATCAAAACAAAAACAACGACGAATCCTCTATTTGAAACACACCGCCCGGCAGCCTCGCGGTCTTCAGCTTCCAGCCGGGGACCAAAGGAGCTCCCAGTCAAAAGCTGCTTACTAGTGGCTCGCAAAGCAAAGGCATTGCCACAAAGTAGACCGAAATGACCATGTGGTCAACACAATATCCTTCCCAGGACTATGTTCAAAGGGGGCTTGTTTGACTGAGCCAAGGTATCATGATTTGCAAGCAAAGTCTTGAACCCACTACATTTCAGCCGTCTGAAAGCTCGCTGTTGATCGGCTAAAACCAAAACCAAGCCAAACTGAAACAAACCGGTCCATCCCAAAGTGCCTTTGCCCTGGCCACATCGAGGCGGCCGCCCTTCATCGCCAGACCTCGGCATCGGAAAACGCCACGGACACGCCCCTCATGTCCCCACCAAAAGCAACCATGCACTATTGAAGATTTCGATCGAACCTCATTTTGCTCCCTCTGTGTGTATCACAACTGGAGACCCTTGAGGGACACTGTGAAAGGGAGCCCGTATGACATTAATTATGTGAATGAGGTCCCGAATGTTGAGGCATAGCCATTTTGGGGGGCAGTGATCAACTCATCCACGTTCCATTTGTAAGAGGAGGAATGCCCTGCCCGAGCCCCCGGCCGATCTTTGCATCTCTTACGTTGGCATGCGACGAGGATCTCTGCATCTCTTCCCGTCCTCACCCCTTGAGGGCGACGCGCGCTGCGAGCCAAAAGACGAAAACGGCCGCATCAAGGTGATGGTCTGCAAAACTCCAAGTTCCTTCCTTCTCACACCCTCTGCACCAAGGACATTACAGGTCACATCTCCCGCCCTTTTCACTGGCTGGGATCTCCAGGTCGCACAACAAATCCTGTCAACAAAACAAGTGCTTTGCAAGGAAAGCTTCAACTGATGTTGGTGGGTAGCGCCCTCTTGGCCACTGTCGCCTGAGCTTGGGATTCGAGCAACTGTAAGTCGGTTACGTTGGTTGCCACGCCTGTCTCAGCAACCTGGCAACCTGGCAAAGCAAACATTATACAGTGCTAAGGCGTGTGGCTTGTGGTAGAAAGACCAGTTCAAAGAACACGGCAAAAGCGGTTCCAGTTGTTCCAATAAATCGAATTAAAAGGATCGGCACTCATCTTCCCACCACTTTTCTCGCGAACGAGGTACTCCCCGACGGGCCAGGTCTTTAGGAACGGGCTAAAGGCAGCGATTTTTGCTTTGATGGAGATTGATGTTCGATTTATGTCCGTTTTGCGGACGGCTAGTGAAACGAAAGGGCAACCATCCGATTTGGGTTTTCCCCATTTAGGCGAAAGGTTTCTTTCACCAGACGTGGCCTCTCTTGGCTACTACAAATCCGCCGACAACAGACGGCGTGTTGGACATAAGAAATGCTCCTTGCACTCTTTACCTGTTACCCCTCCCCTTACCCCTCCACGTACCACGCGGTGATTCGAAGACGCTTCACTAAATCTGTTCATTGTGCGGGCCTCAGTTTGTCAAAAACATTGGGGTGTTGGATTTTTTTCCGGGTCCGCTTTCGCATCCTTAGCAGCTCCAGCGGCACATCGCCAGCATCACCTGCATCATCCGCATCAGCGCCTGCCAATGATGCGGATGATGCAAGTGATGCTGGGGATGTTGCCCATGCTGGTGAAGGAACATCTGGAAATGAAGGAGGGAAAGGGGGGAAAGCATCTCAACAGGGAAAGGGGGGGAAAGATCTCAGGGAGGAAAGGGAGAAGATCTGGGGAAAAAAAAGATCTTAGGGAGGAAAGGGAGAAGATCTGAGGAAAAAAGGCCAACAATAAAAGGGGGGAAAAGATCTTAGAAAGGAAAAGGGAGAAGCTCTCAGGGGTGGAAAGGCCTTAGGAGGGAAAGGGGGGAAAGGATCTCAACAGGGAAAGGGTGGGAAAGATCTTCGGGAGGAAAGGGGGGGGGGGGAAAAAATAGAAGAAGTAGGGGGCCTGGGGGGAAGTCTGTTGAGGGTTGCCTGTTATGGTTTTTATGTTCATCTCAAATCTATGTTCCCCCTTATTCGTTTTTAAAAGAGGGTTTTTAGGGAGCTTATTTATCGTTTTCGTTAAGGTAATCATTTGGGTAAATTGTCGCCTTGTTCATTGTTGGGCTGGGGGCAAACATTTTTTTCATTTGAAAGAGGTAGCCCTTTTAGTAGTTATCAAGTTCTGGGGTGTTGGTGGGTCGTTTGTTTCTTTGACGTTTATCTCTACAATTATTTATTTTTGTTCTACACTCTTGACAATATTTATATCTTCTTCCACTTTTTACATTTCCAAATTCATCAATTGTTTTATCATAAAGACATCTGTTGCATTTGAAGAATTCACCATAGTCTTCTGTTGCTTTTTCTTCTGTCATTCCATAATTATTCATTATAGTTTGCTTCACAACCATTTCTTAATATATCTTAACAACTTCTTTTTATGTGATTTTTATGTGATTGTCTAGTTATGTTTTATAGGTTGAAATTACAGTATAATGAAAGGTTATAAAAGTTTACACTGTTTAATCATATTATAATTAAATATTATGATTAAGCCATGAAATCATTGTTTCTGTTTTCTATAAATTTCAATTGCAACATGTTCGATAGTAATGATTTCGTGTCGTTTCATAGTCTGTTTGGTTTCTTCAACTGCTTGTTCAATATGGTATTGTAATGACGCTCTACTTGAAATCTTATTCTGTTTAGATGATGAATAAGAACGACAGTTGCTAATATTATTATGATACATAATTTTCGAACTAACTTCTATTCCAACCTGTATTTCTTCATCATACTTCATCATTCTTAATAATTCTTTTGGTGGTTTCAACGCATATGAAAGCGCTTTATCACCTTTTAAGCATTTATTGCGAATCTCAACATAATATCTACTTTCTCCTACTCGTTCAGTGTAAATAGACGGTTTCCATTTCCTTTGTAAGACCCTTAATGCTTTACACTGTTTTAGTCTTTGCCACCCTTCACTACCATTAATGTAAGTAGTGATGATTGAAACTAAGCCTTCAGGTAAGCTAGCGCAATTCACAACCATAAAATTATTCTCTGACATTTTACCCTTACTCATTTTTCTCTTAATATATAAGGTAATATTTCTTTAAGTAGTTTTGGCTAGGGGGTTGCTGGTCGGCTGGTCTGGGTTTCAGGTTTAATTTAAATGTCTTAACCTCATTGTTAGATTATAAAAACTAGGTTTAATCATATTATAATTGAATAATATCATTAAACTAAATCACTCACGCTTTCCATCCACCTATTCCATCCCACCAGAATTCAATAATTCGCATCTGTCCATCTACTAGACTGTCTTCTGTGTTTAGTTTCCGTATCGCTCCCGATAAGATATAGTGATTAATAATCATAGCATTAAACTGCCCATCTCGGTTTAACTTTTTACCACAGTCTTTTATGATGTTTTCATCTGTTAGGTTTTCATACATTTCTTTCATGATGTCAAACCTAACAAATGAGTATATTGTCATCAAGTTTAATCCGCTATTATCCCTAAACCTGTTAATAACATCTTTCCAGAATTCTTCGTTTTCATCAACTGATGGCAAAGGGTGTCTTTTGACGAAATCCTTTATTTTGTTTAACTCGTCATCTAATTCCTTTTTATAACTGTCATTATCATCATCTTCTTCGTCTGATAGCACCCAGTTTGATAAGTCAGCAATCACTCCGACATTTTCAGTCATATTTTCACTTAATATAATAAGTTAATATTTCTTTAAGTAGTTTTTTATTTTATGTTAAGGGGCGGGGTTTTTATTGAAAAAATATTTTCTAACAATTTAATATAATGGCGAGATTAACAAAAGACCAAATAATCAGCAACATCTATTACGACTTAGACGAGGGTTTCGGAAGCACACAAGCGACACACAAGAAGGCAAAGGAAGAAGACCCAACAATAACATTAGACGATGTAAAGTCTTTCTTAAAGAAACAGCCAAATAAACAAATCAAAAATTATAGAGGAACTAATTCCTATACCGCTCCATTCGCACGATATGAATATCAAATAGACATAATGCATATGTCTCCTTTAGCAAAAGACAAGAACGTTCCACAGTATGCTTTAGTCGTGATTGACATCTTCAGTAAATTAGCAGATGTAATACCGATGGAGGAAAGAGACGGAGAGAACGTTTTGAAGGCGTTGAGAGCAAGCTTTAAAAAGATGGGTTATCCGATGTCCGTGTATTCTGATGACGACGGAGCGTTTGCAACTAAAAATCACGTTCAGGATTTCTTCAACAGTGAAGGAATAAACCACATCGTTACGAAGACCCACGCAAATGTGGCCGAGCGTTTTATTAGAACGATGAAAAACAAAATTCACGATAGAGTTAGGTTTAACAACATGAAATGGACCGACGCCCTAACGCCGGCATTGAAACAGTATAACAGCACATCTCACTCATCAACAAGGATGACACCGTCTGAAGCACACAAGGACGAGAATGAAATAAATGTAAAGGTCAATCTTAAACTACGAGAAAAAAACAAAAGAAAGTATCCCAGAATAGTGGAGAACGACAAGGTAAAAGTGTTTCAAAAGAAAAGGGGTAATTACACCGACAGAAAGGAGTATAACTCTAAATGGTCTAATAAAATATTCAATATCGATAAAATTGAATATGATATTATGGGTAATAAAACTTACAAAGTAGCAGAAATAAACAAACCGCTTTTGAGACACGAAATTTTGTTAGTTAATGATTAAACGTATTTCTTGGTGTCTTCTTTATACTTGACTTGATAGTAATCCAGACTTGATTGTTTAGGTTCTTTTATGATTTTTTCATTCAGTTTTTTAACATAAATGTTTCGTTTATTTTTGTATTCGCTACTGTCTCTATCTACTTCTTTTGCTTGATAATTGTTATTGTTATCATATGTAGGTTTAATATTCAAGCTCTTTAAGATTTTCAGTATGTTTTCATTTTGCTCCAACACTTTTTCTAATCTTGGAAACAACAACTCTAAACTACTGTCAATGTTCGCTAAATGTTCCTCCATATATACTAAATTATAAAACTAAACTTTTAAAACTAAATGTTGCAATTATGTTAAATCTACTCTTTAAATACTATTTTTTCATCATTTGTTTAACAGTTTCCTGAGTTTCCTTATCGCCACTATCGGATGGTGATGCTTGCCGACCCCATTTAAAAGTTATATTATGAACATCTGTTTCTAAGTTTATACTGTCTTTAGTTTTATCAATATTCATTTTCTTATCATTTCTACTTATTTTGAAACTTGACGGAATACACGAACATTTACAATTTCCTTTCTTTTGAATTTCTAATTCATTTTTCATTTCTAACATCTTTTTACACATTGGACAAGCAAACTCAATAACTGATGTTTCTTTAACAATTTCTTCTTTTTCTTCATCACTCGAAGAAACAACTGGCTCGGACTTATTCTTTTTCTTTCTTCCCATCTATATTAATATTTATATTTTTAATATATTGTATTCCTAACTTAATTAATTCTAATGAATAATAACAACATTTCTTAATTTTATTATCGGTTATTATTACTTGTTCTATATTTTCTACTTTATCTATTATATCAATATAATCCGAATAACTTCTATTCATATAAAATAATAAATATAAAATATTTTCTAAATAACTTTA